TGGGTTTAGGCGCCCCTGGGAGTCCCCCTGCAATTCAGAAGCAGCTCGTGGTCAAGACCAGTTAGAGGCAGCTCATCATCAGCAGCGGGGCTCCAGAGCACCCCAACTAAGGGGGGGAAACAACCCTGCCCACCCCCCTCCCCCACCTCACGGACACGAAACAGACACAAAACAGCGGGCACCCCTCCCCAAGCGGCAGGTGTGGTGCCGGGCAACCAGGGTGGGCTGCGCACACTGCTGAGCCCAGCCGCGCGCAGGTGCCAGGACACGGCCGGAGTCTCTTTGCAGAGGCCGCGGACCCTGGCAAAGGCTTGGCCCTCTTCTCTGGGGAGGGGGTGCGAGAACACAGCAGGGGTCTCTGTGGGACAAGTCCAGGGGCAGCAGCAAAGGGTAGCACCACATCCACACTCAGAAGGGGCCTGAGACCCAGCCAGGCAGGGACAGTCACAGAAGCAGAGGAGGGGGGCGGGGAGTCTTCAGGTGGCCTGGCGGAGGGTGCAGACCCGGCCTGCGACCTGTGGCTCAGCACAGCTGGTCACTGGGCCCTCGCCAAACCGGACTTGGGTTGGGACCTTGTGTGCACGTGGGCTTCGAAGGCTCGAAGGCGGGGCCCTCCAAGTTCAGTCCAGGGCCCCTCGGCTGCCTACACTGGCCGGGGCAGAGCGCTGTGCAGCTGCTCATCGTAGCGCTCCAGCCAGGTGCGCAGCTCCGAGACCTGGTAGCCGTCAGGGCCGCGGCCGCCCTGGTACATGATGATGCCGCTCTGGACGACGTAGAGGCGCTCGAAGTAGGCGCCGTAGGCGGAGCTGCTGGAGTTGGTCATGGTGTCGAGGACCAGGGCGCAGCCGGGCACCCCCTGCTGCAGAACCCGCGCGGCGCTGACCCGGTCGTCCAGGCTCCGGTGCTGTGGGATGATGTAGGGGGTGTCAGTGGTGACCCAGCCGTCCGAGGGGTGCGCCTCCTCGATGTAGATGATGAGAAAGTCCACGTGGCGCTGGTACTTGGTGACCAGGCGCCGGAAGGCGCTCATTTCGCGCCATGAACGGTGGGTCAGGTGCAGCTGCCGAAATTGAGCACCAGCGGCCGGTCCCCTCGAGCGTAGTCGAGGGTGTGCTGGTACTGGAAGCCTTCGGCCGGGAC